CCCGCCTCGGCCTCCCAGAGTGCTAGGATTACAGGCGTGAGCCACCGCGCCTGGCCTATACCTCCCATTTTTTATGCAAATAAAAGTAATGATAAAAACATATCTATGCATTCCACCCTTTCATCACAGGAGGTAGCATGCTATATTCATTGTTCTTTGTTTTGATTTTTTCAATGTAACTACATATTTTTAATATCCCTTCTTACATGAACATAGAGATACTCCCTATTCATTTTTTACAGTTGCATAATATTGCTTTGTTCAGAAGCAAGATCATTTATTCAAATAGTTTATTGTTCCTTCACACTTAGTTTTTCCCAGTGTTTGGGTTATCTATATCATATATTATGTATAACATGATATAGATAATAACATAGATAATATATGATATAGATAACCTTACAGGTATAAATTTATCTGTTTGCAAAATGTCTTCAGTAAAAACTTCAAGAAGTACAAGTGCTGGCATAAAGGGTAAACACATCTGTAATTTCGTTAGGTATTACAGATACCTCTTAATAGAGTTGTATCATTTTGTGCTCTCTCAAGCAATATATGAGAGTACTTGTTTCTACACATTTTCATACACAGATTCTATTATCAAAGTTTTACTCCTGTCAACCAAATATATAATAAATATTATCACATTACAATTTTGATTTTTATCTCCTTTATTATGAGTGTGGCTAAATATCCTTTCATATTAGTATTTGTATTTTGTGTTCTTTGATGCTTTCCCACTATTCTATTTGGTTGTTAATCTTAGGAGCACTTTACAAATTAGAAGAATTAATCTTTTTACAGGATATGAGTTACAAATATTAATTGTTGCTTGACTTTTGACTTTCCTCATTATTATTAATTTTATAAAGTAAAATTTATCAGTCTTTCCTTCATGACATCTAGATTTTGAATCATAGTTTGGGAAACCCTCTTTTAAAGATAATAACAAAATTAGCCAATGTTTTCTTCCAGTATTTGTAATATTTACTTTTTTACATTTAAATCTTTATTCTATTTGAGTTTTTCTAGGTATATTAAAAGAGCTATGGATGTATCTTCCCCCAAAATATATCCAGTTATATGAGAACCATTTTCCAAAAGAGTCCATCTTTGGTGCACTTATTTAAGATTTCACTTTCATTATACATTAAATTCCCATATAAGTTGGAGTCTATTTTTAGACTTCTTGTCAGTCTGTTCATAAATCAATACTAATTTTTATTTCAAAATATTAAGGGGGTACAAATGTTTTTGTTACACAGATAGCTTTTATAATGCTTATGTCAGGGCTATTGGTGTGTCCATCACCAGAATGGTGTTCATTGTACCTGTTAGGTACGTTTTTAACCCTTGCCACTTGATTTCCAAAGAATTTTACTTCTGTCTGTGATTATAGCAACACTTACATGAAATTTCAACTTTTTCATTTCTTTTTCTATTTCATATACTAAAACTAGAGTATATGCATATGTGTATATGTGTTTTACTCTCCTTTTTGCTCTGTCCAGTTACCAAGAGAAGTGAGAAGATTCAGAACTAAACTTGTGGAATGTTACTATCATCTCTTTCATCTCACTGCTGGAAACACTTGCTTGGATGTTTCACATGAGCTTTAAATAATGTTCAACATAGTACTGATCATGTTCAATCTGAGCT